GTCTTTTGGATGCCACTAAATCACAGTTTAGTATCATCAAAGTATATTGAATTTTACACAGCTTACTTTACAGGCAAAAATTGTGAACATAATTCCTTTTCAATAGATATAAAATCTAATAGTAAACTACCCAAAAGGATGGATAATTTATATTGCTTCTTCCAACGAAAGAAGCAATAAAACTATGACTTATGAGAATAAGACTATATTGAGAAATTAAAAGAAATGAAGCACTGGAAACCAATGAAAACAACACTAAATATAGTCAGAACAACAAGAACCATATCAACTTTACATCTCTATAGTTAAATACATCTTTATAGATGTAAGGAATACTTCAACAAAAAAATTCTTAATTAGAAAGTATAATGTTTTGTAATATAAATATATGACTCTAGTGGATCTAAGGTAAACAAATAAGCATTATAAAGCAAGCCTATAAAAAATCAGGCTAATAGCTTGTGTCCAAATATAGGAAAATATTTTACTTAAAGGTATTAGGATTGTTGACTGAGGCATTTCTTAAGTATAACCTAATGGAACTTTCTCTTGATATCTAACTTAACAAATTCAGGTTCTTAAGATATTTATTTCAGAAGTAGATTTCATTGTTTAATGGTTTCTGTCTTTCATAAGTTCATATATTACAACATTTGCAGTTCTGGGGAAATAAATATAAAACATGTTAACATCCTTTTGGTTTTTGATACCCATTAATGGTTTTGTGTAGGTAGAATTTGTTCATCCCAAAATTGGTAGGCCTCCCTACAAACGGGCTCCTCTATGGAATAAAATAACCTTATTTGTCTAGTTTCTATGTCCTTTACAAAGCTGATTAAGAATAGCTGAATTAATAGTAACGTGGCAAGAATAGATATGACCATAAAGAATGGCAAAATTATTACTTTAAAATTGATTCCATTTTTAAAATTTTGCAGTGATAAAAGAAGAGATAACATTGCAAGAAATATATTACTGCCCTTGCAAATTTGTGAGAAACCAATAATGAGCAATTCTACATTTGTTGGCTAATGGTATGGTACAACCAAACATTTATCAAAATAAAAATGAGGTCCATATGCATACAAAATCAAGTCTTTATCCTAAGTATCATTAGAAACTATAGAGCCCCAAATGAACTCTTGAGGGTAAGGCTCTTAAAATAAAGAATAACATTTTAAGTGCATAGCTATTACAAACTCATTTGATATTCATTTTAATTGCCATGGCTATAATGAATATACTTTGTATTCAAACAGATGTCACAAGTACTACTACAGAAGTTCCAATATAATTCAGTCTTAGTTAAGAACGAGTAAATGGATATTTAAAATTGACTGTTACCAGGAAGGAAGAAAAAAAAAAAACAATTACAGCAAACATTAGCTTCTTAAAACAGCAAATTAAAGATTTTTATTAAATTGTGTTCTTTCTTCTTTGGACATACACAGAACACAATCATACAGAAACACTCGCTACACCAACTACTCCCTTTCTTTGCTTCAGCTGTTCTATAGATCTAACTACCCTGGGAAACAGAAATTGGGAGTATGAAGAATGACTCAGAAGGGAAGGCTGAAATTCACTGTAGAATATTTAGAGACTGGTCTGTGAAAGGATTAATAAATATTGCAATGCCAATCTAGTTTATCTGAAGGAGTAGGTAATCATATATGCTGTTTTCTTTTAATTGGCCAGACAAGTTCTAATATTTCCTTTAATCTTCTCTAAAATGGAATATTGAAACCTTAAAGTCTACCATGAGAGATCTTCACACTGTAAATTAGAAATGGCGTTTCTTAGTGTATGGTTCACAGAACTACCAATGGATGGTTTTTTTAAGAGCAAACATTCCTGGGCCCCAACCAAGTTCTATCAAATGGGAGTGTGGCCCAGGAATCAGCATTTTGACAAACCTGAGCATTCTGACACACGCTCTTGTTTAAAACAACTGCCTGAAGGTAGAATGAGGTAATACTTAAAATTATGTATTTTCATTTCATTCCAATCAGCAATAGTTTATTAAGCATTAATCTTTGGTGAGTGAAAATTGTATTCGTGTATATGCACATTTAGGCAAGCAGCATATGATAAACTTGTTTTCAAAGTACAATCTATTAAGTACAACAATCGTCTACAAATGTCGAATCACAAAAATAATCTGCGACTGTGCAGATGAACAATTAATTCTAGAGTTCAATTTAGTATTTATTCCCCCTGAAAAGGCATCTGGAGGTTGACAAGAAGTATGTTTAGCTTATTACTAGAAAATATGCAAAAATACTGTTTAAAAACAAGTTTATCTTCTTTTTCTTGATGTTTTAGGAACCGCCGGTTTTGAAAAGGAACGTAGGCTTCTGAGGGGTTTATGGGGAAGAGACAGAGGGAAGAGAGAAGGAATGGAGAGCAAGGCCAGGAGCACTAGAGGCAGACTCGTTCTCTTACTTCCGACCTAATTCTCACAGTGCCCAAACTGTGAACTGAACTTATTTAAAAGTCATATTGTGTTTTGAAACCACTAGAGCAAAATTCAAAAAGTGGCAGTTGACTTTGGAGTTGAAGAGAAGCATGTAAGAAGATAAAACTGATGGTACCAGCTGCTATTCTGGTCAGCAGGTTGCCCTCACCCTCACCCTCGTCCACACCCTGAGGATTGAAGACAAATTGAGATCTTTGGAATGCACCTCAATAAGGAGCATTCACTTGTGAAACTCAGTGCCGAGGAAGTCACTAATTGTACCCAATGCCCTGGACTTTCTTTGATCCTTGGTTGACTTTTCCATGCATCGAAAACAAGATCCAGTAAAAAAAAGAGGCTATGTAAGTGCAAATGCATGGAAGAACAGGTGGGCCGTAGGGACTCGGAAGGTTTCCCATGGCCCACGGCAGTGGTTTTCAAAGAGTGGTCTCTACACCAGCAATGTTGTCATTGCCTGGGAACTCATGTTATTAGTTCACTCAGGCTTTAAACAAAATACCACAGCTGGGGAGCTTGCAACACACATTTGTTTTCTCATGGTTCTGGAGGCTGGAAGTTTGCAATCACGTTGCCAGCCAATTGGGTTTCTGGTGAGGGCTCTCATCCTGGCTTGCAGATGGTTGCCTTCTCACTGTGTCCTCATGTGGTAGAGAGAAAGAACTGGCTTTCCCTCTTTTTATAAGGCCGCCAATCTCACCAGCTTTATGAACTTGTTTAACCTTAATTACCTACTAAAAGCTCTATCTGAAATTCAGTCACATTTGGGGTTAGGATTTCATCACACACATTTTGGAAGGACACAATTCAGCCCATTGGACTCATTACATATGAAAATTCTGGAGCCCCACCTCAGACCCAGCGAATCAGAAACCTGTGGAATGGGGCTCAGCAATCTGTGTGTTATTAATGTCCCAGGTTATTTCAATGCCTGCTGAAGTCTGAGAAGCACCAGCCTTCAGGGGGAAAAAAAAATCCCAGTTCCACAGCAGAACACTTAGTTCATGAACCCCCCCCCCCCAAGTCCCACTCCCTCCCTGGCCCCAGTTTCTCCCATGTACTTTCCAACCTTATTCCTTACTGTTCTTACTGAACTCTGCTTTTGCTGAGCTACTTCTGACCATGACCTAAAGGGTCATCCATATTCTGTCTTCTAGACTTCTGCTTACTCTTTCGACATCCTCAAATTGTCTTTCTGCCTCTAAGCACTACCTCAACACCTCAGCCACAATCACCTCCTTTCTTCAAACAGCAGAATCACTAATTGTCTGAAACAATCATGTCCACAACCACAGATTTTACTTTCTTAGATTTCACTGGTTACACTTGTCTATAATTTCACCACAAGGCTTTGCACATTAACCCCCCCCCCAAAAAAAAAACAAACCGAATCAAATCTTTAAAATATCATATTGTTTTATCTAACTCTTCTTTGTAAGTACTCCCCACAATATTGCATTCAATCCAATACTGATTTTGGGCAGCAAATAGCCCACTGGTCTGTGATGGAGCACGATGCCACTTCTAAAGTTGCTTAATATTAAAAATAATCAATACACTATTTGCCATGTATGAAGTTAAGTGCATCAAAGCCTATAGTAAGCATTAGCACATGACCCCAGGAAATTCTCACTCACCTGTAGTAGGCATTATGATGCCTATTTGAATGAAAAAAAAAAAACACCTGGATATTAAGGCCTAAGAGTTCAATTAACTCCATCAAAGTCACTTACCTGAAGAGTGGCAAGGCTGAAAAGTGTGAACATTTGTTTCTCTCAGAGCACATCCTCTATTTCTACTCTGTTATACTATAGACTGAGGGATTTCGTTTTCAGTCAACATCCTGAATTTGCTGCCAAGAACCCCAAAGCATATGGATCTCTTGGAAAAGATATTTTGAGGGCAACCTTTGGAAATTCTTTATTTTTCTATACCCTGAACCACACACACACACACACATGTGCACACACATACATCCTGAGGCATTGTTAAAAGTAAGCTATCACGAAAAAAAATTAGGTCGAACTTCTTGAGCAAACAGATACTATTAAGTGCCTATAGATAATAACTCTAAATTTTACTGCTCTTCTACACGCCATTTACCTCGGGCAGCCTTCAGAATGCTTTCAGTTGTACGTTAAGGACAACTGAAGAACTCAGACGGTGGTACTTGAAAGTTCACAAGTGGCTCTGATACACTTTTGACCGAAGAAACTACTGATAATTAAGCACCAGAAACAGATACACACACATAGGCACAAAAAAAAAAAACTGCAAAAAAAATCTCAGAGTTTAAAACAATGCAATTTTTTCCTAAAAGCTTAAAACAATGCAATGTTTTCCTAAAATCATACTTTTCTCAGTTTCATTCTCCAGAAAACAAGTGATCGTTTACTTTTTTCACAGCTGCCTGCACTTTGGAGACTGGCCTCTAAGATAATACGTCGCACCTGTTGGATTGTTTAGGTAATTCCAAGCACCAGCTGAGATAGTAATTACAAGGAACACTCCATTCTCAGCCTACCTGGGGTGTTCAACAACCTCGACATCTTGCAGAAATAGGAGACGTACTGCTCGCAGTGCTCGGCGCTGCTGGTGACGGCGCTGATCTGGTCCATGGAGGCACTGTAAACGAGCTGTGTCACCGAGTACTTTTCTGGGCTGTAGCCCACCACTGTGGTCTGCATCTGCAAATCGTGAGACACTATGGTCCACACTTTGTCCTCTGTGGGGAGAAAAATACCAGGACAAGGGATCATTAGGATGCAAATCCTTCTTCCAATGGCCGAAAATACTGAGCTGCACTTTCCCTGAACTGATGGAGCAAAGAGCTGAGGATTGCCATCCTTCAGGTTCTATCCTGCAAGTTCTCCTTATATGTAGGTGAATTATAAAGAGATGCTTTTTATTAAAACCAAATGCAAGGGGCACCTGGGCATCTCCGTCGGCTAGGCGGTCCATTCTTGCTTTGGGGTCAGGTCAGGAGCTCAGGGCCCTGGGATGGGGCCCCGCCTCCTCAGGCTCTGTGCTCAGCATGGAGTCTGCGTCAGGATGCTCTCGCTCCCTCTGCTTCTCCCCTACTTGCTCACTCTCTCCCCTACTCTCTACAATAAATAAATCTTAAAAAAAAAAAAAAAACACAAACAACAAACCAAACCAAAATGCAAGATACCTCTTAAGCAGAGAAAACAGCTCGTGTCTCTGGTTGATGCTAAGGTCCACAGCACTGAATGTGAGGCTCATTATATTCCCACTCCTTCCTGACTCCCTAACCCATCACTCCTCTGGTACTATAGTATCTGCCTCCGAACTGAACTGTGCTCTCTCAAGCTCTGAATCTCTGTCTATGCTGTTCGCTCCAATCAGAATGTGCATCCTCCTCTTGTCAACAAATGTTCCTCTCACCCTGACCTTTCAGGTAAAATTGGAGCCTCATTCTGTGTGACTGAAATGCTCTATACGCAGGCAACGATACAAATGAGTAATTACCTTGATGCTTTGGACCCTGAAAATTTCAATGTGTGAAAAGGAGAAGCGAATCTAAGATTGATGAGGTTAAATTATGACCTGATCTATTCCTGAATTTGAATGAGAAACATAGCCATGAACCCATAATTTTTCTTTATAAAAAATGCAGACCTACGTCCTAGCTCTGTCCACTGGGAAAGGCCCCAAACAAGGACAACCTGTAGCACCAGATTATCATCACTCAATATGATTTTTCATTAAGAGGAAACAGGGCTGCTGGATCAAGTGACTGATTTCAGGGCTAGAAATGCACAAGATAAGCCTGGAACATAATGTCACATAGAAACAAATAAGCTATTGGAAACAGAGGGCATTTCAAAAAAAAAAAAAAAAAAAAACACACCAGGATCAGAGAAGAATGATTTAAACATCAGTGAGAATCTCCTGCAATGGGATAAAATACATCAGGGATGTTTAATTATAAGAGTTCATAAAAATAAAAAGAAATGTTCAGTCTTAAGGAAATGCCAAGTAACTAACCCATTATTTTGAATATTAGGAATAAGGACTAAGAAGCCAGCACTTAGCACATCTTACCAGTAGGAACCATAACATCACTAAATGCTCTCTTTATGGAAATATTTCAGTTCATAAATGACCACTAAGTGATAGAATTAGGGGACCCTCATTTTGTAACTCCCAACATGCAGGGTCTAGGCAATGGTTATTCGCAGCTGCTAACATAGCCGTGAGTCAAACCGGAGGAGACGTGTCTTCTGGTGGGAGTACACAACACCACCTGGGGAGCAGTGTGGACAAGATCAAACATGAGTTTCTCTGAGCATATGGTCCTGACTGCCAACTTCTAGGGTCCAGCTGCTCAGGACAAAGCCTTGGAGTCCCCACTATGTCCCCCCATTCTTCTACACTCATCATCCAACCTATCAGTTAATCCACTCTGCTCCATCTCCTCCATTTGGGATCTGAGCGCTCCTGCCCCCCCAACCCGCCCCTCACTGCTCAGGTCAAAGCCCCCACCTCCTCCTGCCCCATCCCACAGTACCTTCCAACCAGCCCCTTCCAAAGCCCCTGCTTTCCCCCCTGTGCTCTCACCCCTACCCTACACCCAGCAGCCAAGCTGAGCCTCTGCAAATAGAAGCCAGGTTCAGATACTCTGCTCCAAGCCTTCACGTGGCACTAGGTCTCATTCAGAGGAAAAGTCTAGCTGTTGAAACAGTGGAGGGCCCTTTGTGGTCTAGCTCCACCTTGCCACCATCCTCTCCTGCCCTCCTCACCTCCCCCCTGCTCCTCCAGCTACAAGGGAGCCTGCCTCCATATCAGTGCAGTCAGGGAGCCCCTCCTGGGAGCCTTTGCTCTCCCTCTGTCCTTGGAGGCCACGGGGCCCTCTGTCTGCCCCACTGCCACCCTCGCCTCTCCTGGGCCCATCCCCACCACAGCTCTTTTCTATCTCCGGGTCCGGCTCTGTTTTCTCCCTAGGATTTATCCCTCTCTGACCCTGCACATTTTCATTCTGGCTGACTCCCCACGTTAGATGCAGGGGTAGGCAGGCGTTGTTTCCAATGCTGGATGCGCAGTGCCTGGAACAGCAGCCGGCACACAGCAGGCCTTCACCATATATTAGTATGAATTAAGAAAACACAAGTAGAACACAAAGACCTTGGTCTAGGAACGTCCTAAAGCACTGTGGTTGGGGGTTCGGCACTGCCATGACCTTCCCGAACGACCCTGGACAAGCCCCTTGGTTCTAGACTGCAGTTTCCCCTCATGGCTTACAAGATGCCTCTGCATCAGAATCCTTTGCACCTTGCTCTTCTTAAACCAACTAAACAATTCAATTACGGTGCCTGTGTCATGGCACGTTTTCCAAAAGATAATGGTTTTCCATGTTCACCGTTGGCATGGTCAGATGGTCTTCCCCTGGCTCCTCCGAGAAAGCAAAGAAACTATAACATGTTTTAATCATCGTCTCTCTTTCTGACATGATTCTGACAACACACTGATTGCCATTTATTTACTTATTTTTTTGTTTTTTTTTTTTTTACTGATTGCCATTTATATTCAGACCTTCACGTTTACCTTCCGCTAAGTCAAGATCCATTAGTTAAATAAGGGTAAGTCATCTCTTTTCTGTTAAAATCAGCCTCTAGTATAGAGGCTCTCAGGTGTTATGACAGTACTCACTACTTACCTTTAAAAAACAAAACCAAATCCTTACCAGGACCTCATCCTTGTCCCGTAGCAATATTTCAAAACTTTCATTCTTTAAGTCATAATGAAATAGTCATTCTAACTCTGGGCCTTTTTAAAAGTAACAAACCCCTTTTTAATTTACACAAAATAATGTTCATAACGGCAGACATTAATTAAGCAAGTAAAATAAAAATGGTCACCTACTAGGGTCTCTGTCAATGACTTTAAAAATATTAACCAATTTATTAATATTGATGAGTCTCTAACATTTTGGTCCTAGTGGCTGCTGGGCCCTAAACCCTACATCCATGCATTTCAGCACACATTTTAGTATCAGTCCTCAGGGCACCATTTTCTTTATACTTGTTTTATAGCCCATTCACTCATTCAGCAAACATTACTGGGTACCCACTACATGACAGATACGGAGCTAGGGAAACCACAAAGAAATTCTGAAATTCTGAATTTTTGGAGTCTTATACTCTAGTGGGGAGAAAACAGACAATAAGCCAAAGGTTAAAATAATATATATAGGTAGCACCCAACAGTGGTGAGGAAAAACTACAACAGGGACTGGAAGAACAGGCTGTGTGTAGATTGCAATTTTTAAATTGAAGTTTAATTGATACACAATATCCTATTAGTTTCAGGTATACATCATAGTGATTTGATATTTTTATACATTGTGAAATGATCCCCATGACAAGTCTAGTTACCATCTGTCACTGTACTAATTACAATATTATTGACTATATTCCCTATGCTGTACCTTACATTCCTGTGATTTATTTATGTTATAGCTGGAAGTTTGTAGCTCTTAATTCCCCTTAACTATTTTGCCCATCTCCCAACCCCTCCCCATCTAGTAACCAAGTTTGTTTCCTGAAACTGTTCGTCTGTTTTTGTTTTGTTTCTTTTTTTAGATTCCACCATATGAAATCATATGGTGTTTGTCTGCCTTTGTCTGATTACATTTTTTTTTTTAATGCAGAGGAAACCATGACAGCCCTCACTAAGTGACGTCTGAATAAACAAAGTCATTGTCCAGCAAGCCATGTGGTTGTCTGGGGAAAAGTATTCCAGACAGAGGAAGTGCAAATGAAAACATTCTAATTCTGGAATATTCCTGGTATTGTTCAGTTATGCAAGGGGCCAGCAAATGAGAAAGGAGAAAACAGCAGGAATTAAAGTCTGAGGTGTACGCGGATGGGTGGGTGTGACCTTGAAATGAGATAGAAAGCCCTTGGCATTAGAAGGTTGGAAGCAAGTTAATGTAGCATGCTTCAACTTATTCTCTGACATTCAATTCTTTATTTCAATAAAGCTATACTTCGGAAAGGCTTGAAAAAAAGAATATATATATATATATGTACGTATAAATACACACATACACACACATATATGTACATATATATATATACTCACACACTCATAGATATATGTATAAAGATTTAAAACCTTTTAGTGTTGTGGCATTACATAAAGTAATATGTAAACTCTATTTTAATGGCATAAAGCAATTACCGTTGATGCATCTTTGCAAATTATTTTTTAATGCTTGCATGTTACGCTTGAGCCATTAAATCTTAAGTGACAAATGTATATTAACAATTTTGCAGATATCCTCCATCTCGAAGAAAGTTATACTGTATAATTTGTTCTTTGCTAGTATCATAAGTGAAAAATTAAGAATCTTATTCCCATATTTGTAACGTGTTTACATAATCTGTGTTATCAGTTATGCGCGTGATGCAAATAGAAACTACTATGTATAGCAAATTCTAAATTTCTGCCACTGTTCCATGTTCATGAAGAAGCAATTGATAAACTAGTATATTTCAAATACTCTCTTTGGATTAGTGTGTTATGAAAGTGCCTTCTGTGATTACTGAGAGCTTAGTGTCTGTCTCATCATGCAATCGCATATTTAAAAATTATCTCACTGTACAATGTTTTCAGTACAGATGATTTAGTTATATTTTCCAAATACTGGGACACATATGGAGCACATTGTGGAAATGTATCCTTCTGCTTGGCAATAAGCGG